ATCGGAATTGTTTAGGTTCTTCACGGGTCTAGGGGTGCGGGTGGAAGCCAGAGAGGAACTTGGGCAAAACTTTTCCAGACTTTTGAATTCTAGGTACATGGAAATAACATTGGCCTTCTAAGATCCACGAAAGCGCTTGGACAGCCAATTTGACAGATATTTTAACTCTCTGGAAAGTTAAACTGTAAAGTGTGTTTAAATGGACCTTTAAGACTTTTCTGATCCCTCTTAATCTCCTATAAGGGAGTCCTTTGGGGGCCTGTTATGTATATACTGTATTATAACTCTCCTTGGCATAGTGCTTTACATGGGTTTTGATGTTCTCATTTATTGAGTACTGAAGTGTGATGGTAATCGTTAATCTGTTGGGTCAACTCACAGTCCCTGGGAAAGATTGAGAGGAGGAGATCTCGAACTCCCGCTTTCAGAGCTAGGCAGGTAATTTTAAGTTAGTGAAGTCGGCCCTGTGTTAACTGTGGGGATGTAGAGAGTTTTATGTTGCCAAGTGTCCCCGTGGATCTTCTGTATTTAAGGAATTCAGATACACGAGCTTTTGCACGAAATGCCCTGATTTTTAAATAGCATCCTCTCCTCTTTCTTCTTTAAATTGACACACTGTAGAGGTCCAGGAATGAGTCTATGTGGTCTGTGGCTACCGGTGTGCTGTCTGGGTCAGAGACCAGCGGACCTCACACTGCGGAGGGCGAAGGAGGGGATTTCTCTCCTCTGTCCCACTGCACCCGGGCTCCTCCCTGCTGCTCCAGCTGCCCTGGGTCTCCACTTAGATGCCTGCGCTTGTACTCCTACTATCGCTGCCTGGCAGGTTTTCTGGTGGATGTGGTTCTCGGTCTGAGCTTGTGGGGAAATGGCCCATGGTGGAAGGAGTGCTTCCTTGAGGAAAAGTTTCTACGGCATAGGTGGTAGACTTGCCGCCGAAAGGAAGCAAAAAAAACGTAGTATGAGTATGTCATTTCACATTTCACGGAACACTTGCAGATTCCTCAGTTGCAGCTTGGCCAGGGAGATGCAGGTACAGTGGTGGGTTTCGAGGCCAAGTTTCTTTCCCCCGCTTGGGTAGGAGCTTCCCCACGCTCTTGCTCCCCACGCTTCCTTAGCAAAGCCAAGCAGAGGGACGCGATCTGTGATAACAGCAAGCATCAGAGTTTTCATTTGGTTTTTTCCTGGAATAGATATTCCGGTTTGTGGTTTTATTAGCAGCTTAATTTCTTTTCTCTCTGTGCCTTGGTTGCCTTTAATTATTGCATTTCCTTTTCATTCTCATCAGATGGAGAAACCAAGGGGGTCAGTGTAACTCTCCAGTGTCAGCTCTTGAACCTAGTATCTTAAGTTTTGAGCTTCCTTGTCCAGTTCATTTTTAGCCTCAGCAGTGTGGATGGGTTGTGTGGTAGTATCATTTTGCTCTGTAATGTTTTCTCATGGGCTAGAGAAATTGTGCTGTGTGTCATAAAGACATGCAGCTCAATAGTTTGAGTGTAAATTTAAGTAATGTAACACACTTTTAAAATTCGTTTTATAGTCACTGGGGCCAAGGCCTTTCTTCCCACCCGGGCAGAATCAATTAAAGTGTTTGCAAATGCAAATATGCAACATAATAAGACTGTAGATGTTTCAAGATATGCCAGGGAGTCATTTTTAATACATTTAGTGGGAAGTAGTTACGAATACAAATCATAGCCCATCTCCTGCAGCTGAATTATGTATTTGGGCTGTGACTTTTTGAAGGCCACCAGCGATGGCTTGTTTCCTAGCAGCACAGGTTACTCTGTTTCCTTTCTAGCAAGCTTATTGAGTTTCACAAGGAAGAAAAGTAGGACATAATCCACATGGGCAAGCTATTTTCTAAACCTCAGTGCAGTTTTGCTTTTTCATTATCTCGTTTGAGAGCTGTAGTTGGCTGGTATCTCTCAGATAAGCCCCAGGATAGCTCACAGGATAATTTAGGGTCCCATTTGAAGCGATTTTGTATTTGTCCAGATTAGTTGATTTTTCTGGATGCTCTCTCCCCACTCCTGCTAGCCAGTCTCCTGTGCTTTATCTCCTGCACACCCTACCACCAGCATTTGACTCCTGCTGTGTTTGATGCTTGTCCTTAGCTTGGTTCTTGAGAACATGCTTGGGGGCCAGAATAGAAGTGCTTGAGGAATGGAGGAAAGGGACTGCTCAGTGGCGCTTCTCATCCTGCCCAAAGGTGGGACAGGCCTTGAGTCTGGGATTCATAGCTGTGTGTGGGGGATATACTGTCCAAAGTCCTATGAAGTTGAAGGCAAAATTTGTGTTTGTTTCTGGGTCAAGATGATAAAAGTCATGAATTCCCAAAACGGCTGTAAGTCTCTGCAAGAGTGTTAAGCTGTTGTCTGTGTGTGTTGCTAAGCACACCGGTGTGCGATGTGTTGGCGTGCACACCCCCCCAGGATGTGGAATGGGGATACGTTTTTTTATAGCGGGATAACAGTAATTCCATCTCCTTTCCCATCTGATGGAGGGGAAAGCCAGCCTCAGGGATCAGAGCTGGGATGTGTTAAGAATCAAACGTCCTTGTTAGGATGGCTGCGTTGTCCCTACCTACATGTCCCTGGAAGTCACATGGAGCCACATAAGCCAGTTACAGAAAGTCCACTTTCAGGAAGCGGTGGAATTTTGGCCTGGGTGCCGGTACTTTCCTCAGTTTAATGTGCTTTTCACCCCTCTGCTATCACTCGGCAGTGGAGAAGGGCTGGGTTGAGTCGTCTTGGCTTTTCCTGTGTCTGTGAGGGAAGGTGTGTCCGTGTCATACGGGTTGATTGTCTCACCCACACTGCCTGGGCCACTAGCTAGGAAAGGCCACGCTGAGCATGAACCACAGGACTCAAGTTCACAGAGCTGAACAAAGCCATACTCAGTTCTTTTAGACAACTAAGGGCAGTTAAGGTTCTTAACTGCCATTAAAATTCTGTCTTGTAAGCTTTGTATACACATTGGATTTTTTCTTTTACATCTTTGCTTTCATCACAAATTGAAAAATTAGTTCCACAGAAATATCTTCTGCTTCACTGAGCTCTGCTTTTAACTTTCAGCTTTTGCTCTTAGAAATGGTATGATTTTGTCTTTAATAGTGAGGATAAAAAGTCTTCAGAAATTTGTTGGTATGGAGGTCTTTGAAGAGAGCACCTGTGAGCAGTTATAATTTAGTATGTAGTATGATGTAGCTTACTCAGTAAGATATATATATTATCTTGATACTAAAATATTTCATCTACAGCTTATGAGAATTGGGTTTAGTGGAAACTTGAAAACAGACTTTAAAATAATAGCATAGAGCATTAATAAAATATGCTCTTTAATAATGGCATAAATTAAAAGTTTTCTAACTAGGAATCATTATTTTGGCTTTAAATTTTAATTCAACAATGTAATTGTTACTCAAATGCTGGGAATCCGAGTCACTGATGACAGTGTCTCACTTTTTCACTTTTCTAGCTGTGTTTGTATTTTTTAGAAGTCTTGCAGGGGCAATCATCCGGCTCTTTGGGCCTTTTTTTTCTTTGCTTTTTTGGCCAAAATGGACACCTTCCTGCCCTCCTCCCAACACAAAAAGTTACCTATTCTGGAATTGTTCGGGTTTGATTTTATTTTGTCTTGTTATATCCCTTTCCTTTCATTGTTTCTCTGTCTTTCCTTCCCAGAATAATACTTCAAACCAAACCTCTATCTCACATTCTCAGCTTTAAATACAACTTTATCTTGTCATTATTTTCAGTTTTATATTTTGATACTTAAAATTTAAGGCAGAAGTTTGAAATATTTTTAAAACAGAATTACTTTTATTTTTCTTTCTCCTTTATTGATTATTGTGACAGTACATGGGTACTTTTTTTTAAATTCTTTTTTTTAAATCTCATTGAGTTTATTGGTACTTTTTAAGTATACAGTACAGCTACAATTCATCATTGGGATCTTAGACCTTTACATGACAGATCTTGGTTCTCATTTTTTCCCCATACCCCTCCCCTCCCTTCACCCTCCCCATCCTTCCCTATTTACAAATAATTTGTTTCCATTTTTTCCTTTGCTCATATTTATATTTTTTATTCTGTTCAGTGCCTTTCTGTGTTGATTGAGCTTGATTTCATTACTTAAATTTAAGTTTCTACTTTTCTTCAGGGAGATGTAGCTTTGGGATTGTTTGTAAGGGTCATCTGGAATTTCCACATGTTCTTGGTGGCCAAGGAAGTTAACAAATATTCTTGCACAGGCTCTGAGTGAAATCCAGTTGTGGCAAAAGTAATTTGCATAATTTGCATATACTCTAGTCTTCTTATTCATCAGTTTCTGCTTTGCTTCTTTTGTGTACTGTATTCTGAATCACTGCTTTTTATTTCCAGCAGTCTCTTTCTGTTCTGTCTTGTCTTTCCATTGAGTTCTGTTTGTTTCTTTTCCTTCTCTTCCTGTGGGCCTTTGTGGGAATTTGTTTCTGTGGCTACTGTGAGAGGCTTGTTTGGAGACTCTCCTCTGGGCACTTGTGTGCAATTATATTTTTGGTTATTTTGTAGATTAAAAAGGGAGGAGACCAAAGCAGAGGCAAGCATGCATGCAGAGTAGCCACAGCGTTCTCTTGCAGTGCTGTTTGTAACTCCAAGTGTCTGCTGGAAGAGGAAGCATGGCTCATTGATACCTCATCTTCTCATTCTGAAGATGAGAAATCTGAGGGCAAGGTTGAGGAAGTGCTTGGCTGGAGACATGCTTTTGCTATTGTAAAGGAAGTGATTTGTTTGGGTCACTGTATTAAATCCACAACTGGACTTCACTCAGAGCCTGTGCAAGAATATTTGTTAACTTCCTTGGCCACCAAGAACATGTGGAAATTCCAGATGACCTTTAGAAACAATCCCAAAGCTGCATCTCCCTGAAGAAAACTTAAGTAATGAAATCAAGCTCAATCAACACAGAAAGGCACTGAACGGAATAAAAAATGTAGAGCATGACAACTTCTCTCTCATCGATAGATCTAGGAAGGAGTCTCAAAGGTGCTGTTTTCAAGAGAAGAATGAACACATTTGGTTGCTTTTTATTTCATGTCTTTGATTGATAGTTCCTGAATCAGATTTCTGTTTGCTTTTAACTGGCCCAGACTGACTCCACGTAATCTCACTGCAGTCAGAAGTACCTTTTCTGGGTTACTTGTTCCCTCACCCCACATTATTAAATCAGCCCTCCATCCCATTTATTTAGAAAGGAAAAAATAGAATGGAAAGTAATCACTGGAGGCTGGAGATGTACCTCAGCAGTGGAGTACTTGCCTAGCCTGCATGAGGCTCTGGATTCAAACCCAGTACTGCCCCCCACCCCCGAGTTGACTGATTGTTTATTAATACTCTACTCCAATGAGTGTGCATGAGAATTAGTATGAATATCTAACTTTTCAGTGTTCTAGTTATTTTAGATGTGCCTGTTTCTCCCAACAGTTGTGTGAGTGACAGTGATACCTGCCGGCCTTTTTACAGGTGGTTAGACTTAGGCACTGAGCAGTGTATTACTCTGGTAACTGCTGTTGTTAAACAGACCAGGTGAGGGCGGTTAAGCTCAGAGTCTGAGCCCCGGTCCCAGCTCAGGCCATTGCTCTCCGGAGAGGGCTCCCCATACAGCGTGCCTCGGGCTGGCTTAGGCAAAAAGTGGCTAAGGAGTAGGAGAGGGTGCGGAAGAGAAGACGCCTGAAGCTCACAGGTGCGGAGCAGTGTCATGAGGACACCCCTCCATGGTACCCGCTCTCCTTTCCCCCTGTTTTAGTGGGCTGGAGAGTAGGAGCTGGGGTGATGAGGGAGCTGGACGCAGGCTGCCTTAGTCGTTGGCTTTATTCCTTTGTATATCAGCCCGATAAGCCCCTGCCTCATGTTTCATTGTGTCTGGAGTGAGCTTGTGTGAACTTAGGGAATTGGGGATTTGAGTGCTCTCTATGTGGCTGTCAGCTTTTAGCCCCAGTACCCTCCGGAGGACTTAGACCCTCCAGTTCCTGAGCCTTTCTGGGGTTCCGCCTAGCTTGCTCGCTTGCTTTCCACGGCTGCACCTCCACCAGCCCTGTGCTTCCTGGCCTGGGTCATTTACCCTGCTCTCCTTTTGGATTTTGTGCATCTTCTGCTTTCAGCAGAGATAGAGTTGGTGTTTGTTTCCCTTCATTGTATTTTGGGGTGAATTAGGGAAAAGGAAGCATCTTCAAACTTGAGGCCCTGTTGTTCATCTTTGTGTGGCACCCAGTGGGATGTTCTACCTTTCTAGTGCTCAGTAGTCCCGGGCAGCTGTGGACACTTTGGAAGTGTCACATGTGTGAGGAGTAAGTGGTAGTGCTGGCAACTACAGCGTGTGGGACCATTGAGTGTGAAGGTTAGGGAACGGGGGTAACCTCAGGGATCTTTAGCTTTGGTGATTGGTAGTAACTGATGCTGTCTTAGTCTTGATTTTAGAATAGCTATTGTTAAATTTGCTGTGACATGCAGTACAAGTTGGCAGTTGTCCTACATTCCTATGTGATTCCCATCCTTAGAACTTGACTGAATCATTTTGGGAGTTTCGCTGATAAGATTCCTGTTGAGATGTCTAGACACACAGCTGGGCCATTGATAGATGTTAATTAGATGGCCTTAGAGCCATGTTGACAGTTGAGTGGTATAAATTATATCATTTAAAGTAACTTCGGAAGTGGGAAAGTGAGGTAGAAATGTCAGCATCTAGGATAGGTCCCACATTTTGTGCTTATCACCACATAATGTGAAAAGTTAGACTTGTAGTGTCTTACACATTTGTAAGTGCTGTTTATTGTGATACGATGGAAAATGTCAGTGCCACAGTGTTTGAAAATGTCTACTTTGGTGTGATTTCAGCGAGGAGGACATGTACCGTGCTGCAGATGAAATAGAAAAGGAGAAAGAATTGCTTATACATGAAAGAGGGGCATCAGGTATGTTTGGAATTGTCTTATTAATAGAGTTCCTACTGTTTATAGTAGAAAATGCAGTTAAATCCATATATTTGTTTTCATAAAATGTGGATGTACTTTGAGGAAAGATTCTTATGATTATTCACTTTGCTTAACAGGAAGACTGTTCGCTGAGGTTGTAAAGTTTTAATGCCATTGATCTCTGTATGCTTCACACTCAGGTTGTTTTTGTACCTTTGAAGATAGTTGTAATTTCTTAGCACTACCGTCTCTCGGTTCCAGATTCCTTTACATCCTTAGATGGAGAGTTGGAATTTGAAATGCATTTTTCATTTCCAGTTGGAGGAGTTATTGAGAAGCTGGCCTTGTACATCTTTGGACACAGATGACCACATGAATCTGATTGACTAAAAAGAACGATCACAGGCTCTGGAGCACTATTTGTTGCTTGTGCAATTTCCCATCCTCCTGGCTTCTCCTCTCTGAGTCTGTTCCTCTCACCTCGCCAGGGCCGAGCAGGGCTCAGGGCCGAGGCAGTGTTCCTCCTGCACTGCAAGTGGAGCACGTCCACCTCAGCCAAGAGGAGCTGCGCAGTAATTGGCAGGGGCCTTTTCGCTCAGTGCTGGGCGGTTCAGGTGTTCTGGTTTGTTTTAAGAACTGGCTTCTGTTAACTTAGGGCTACCAAAAGTGTTACTGTAATTGGGAACCAACAGTGTGAGTTAGACTTTTGATGATCTTTTCCAGTCTTCCTCAGAGGGAATCAGCAAGCTCTGACCTGTGGTGGCCGGAGGAGATACTCTTTGTATTGGCCTGGCATGCCCCTGGGCCCATGAAACTCAGTCCCACTCGGTGTGCACTGCCGTGTTGCCCTAAACCCCTCACTGCGCAGAGTCCTGCTGTCGGGAAAATAGGCACATGGTGGCCGTCCTCACTTCTGGGGAACCCCCAGGCCTCTCTCACTTTGCAGGCTCTGTTGTGATTGTCTTCTGTGCAGTGCTCTCCCCAACACAAGCAATCCAGCTCTTCCATGGCCCTTGTAACTTGGGCTTTAGTACCAGAGTAGAGTGGATCCCTTCCCGCCCTGTGGTCTTAGTCCTGAGTTCATCAGCCTTCCGGAAACAGCCTCCTTGGGCAGCAACCCCACTTCCCCAAAGCAGAGCCCAGCCTGAGGCAGAAAGCGTTCTTGTCCTCTATTTCTTTGAGGGAAAAGACTTTTTTCACCTATTCAGGGGTCAGAAAAACCACGTTTTGAGGGTGAACCTGAGCTGCCAGCTTTTGTTGGTGGCTTTGGTGCATGGTGAAGTTGAGTAGTTGTGACAGAAACCTTCTGGCTCTTAAAGCTTCCATTATTTCCTGTCTACCCCAGTTCAGAAATAGTTTGAGATTCCTGTTCTGGTCTGTCCTCTGAGAGTCCCAGCCTCCCAGAGGAGTTTTAGTTTTCTACCTTCCAGGGGTCTGATCCTTGAGTTTGTTATTCATCTGATCATTCACCAAACTCCTTTTATTTTAGCTCCATTGTTTTCCACTCTGGTGTTCACCTTCCCTTACTTATTTTTATGCTTTACCCTTAGATATATTCTGTCCTAGAAACAGAAATCAGAGTGTAGTTGATAGTTAAAGAAAGGCACCGTTACACTCACGAGCTAGTCCTCCTCCCAGAGAGCAGGGGCCAAATGGGGATTTAGGCAGTGCTTTGATGCTGCCAGCCGTGCCAGCACCCATGAGACAGTGGCCGGTGGCTCGACCTTTTGCCTGTGATGCAGGCGCCTCCTCCCCTCAGTCCTGAGGTGATGGGCCTGCCCAGGGGTCGGGTCTTTGTGTGTGTGAACACTCGTGTGTGATGCACATGATTTGGGGACAGCAGAGAGGGGAGCAGGAAGAGTATCCTCACTATGTGTATTTATAGTTTTTCTTGCCTGGGGGGAGGTGGGTGGAAAGGCAGTTACAGGGAACCCTTCCTTCGCTGCACTAAGCAAGCACAAAATTTCTTGACTTTAAAAGATGCAAAGCCTTTAGGGATTGGTTGTGTAGCATTGTATTGGTGGTGTCTGTATAGTATACCTCAGGGGTCTGTTTGACTTCTAAGCTAATCCTGCTGTATGTATAATTTTCCCTTTTATGTAAGCGGTTCATTTTCCTTATGAAAAGATTCAGTGAGTTAAAAAAAAATTCTTACAGTTTACTTCTAAAAACATTGGACTCACTCAAACTGTAGGAGGGTTTCTGGATGATAGGTGTTCCTTGCCCTCCTGGCATCCGCTGCATCCAGGCTGAAAGGGCTGTGGTCTTTGTCAGTAGTCTGTGAGCCCCTCAGTGCTGTGCCTCCATCTCGAGTGCCTTCATAGTTCCAGTTCTCAGCTCAGGGTTTGACACATACCAGACACTCAGTGTTTGTTGGATTGAGCTCAAAAAACACTTTTATGCACAACTTCCTCAGTAAACAGGTTGTGAAATTCTTCCAGGTTTATGTCTCAAAATCACAGGAAATCAGGATGTACCCAGGAATTGATTTCATTTTCTTCATTTTTTTCTCTAAAACATACATGCTAGCATGTGTGTACATGTGTGCCACAAAAATCAACCCCCAAACAGGTTAAACAAGGACAATTTGAAAACCTTTTTTCCCCTCTAAAACCTATAATATTTGTTTGATCATGAGTTGTGTTTATAATTTTGGGTAATGTGTTGTCAGAGTCGAATGAGGTCTGTGAATCGACTAACAGAGCTTTGTTATTTTTGATGAACTGAACAAATTATAGGGCTGGATATGTATATATATATACATATATATATATATATATATGGATATGTATATATATTGTGTAATATATATTTCATATTAGCATATGTAAATAGACAGTTAAATGTTTTTGTTGTAGCATGCGTTATCTCTTTGTATAGTAGATGTAAATGACTAACTACCAGTCAGTAGGAACATTTTCTCACAGATGAGAATGTTGTGTTTTTGATTAGAGAAGCGTTTGCAGACACTGTGGGTCAGTACAGCTTCAGGTTCTGAGGACTCAGAAACAAAACCAAACCCTTGCCCTCAAAGAGCTCCTGTTTCACTGTGTTTGTGTATGGCTGTGTGTGGGGAGGTAAAAAATAGGTCAGGTGTTGGTAAACACAGAGAAAAAGAAATGGGGTGAGAGGAATAAAGAAAGGGTCATGTGTGGTAACTGTGATAGCACTGGGGACATGGGAGGCTACACGGAGGAGGGGGTGGCCCTGAGGTGTGGTAAGCTGGCCAGGGGTGAGGACGCAGGTCAGGTTATTGTTTTCCGTCACCAGAGGAGAGGGCCAGCAGCCCCTGGAGCTCTCTGGGCCCAGGAGAGAGCACTGTCATCTGACTCAGGTTGTAGCAGGGCATCCCTGGCTGGCTGCAACACAGAATGGTCTGGAGGGTGTGGGGACAGAGGGGCCCCGTTGAGACCCAGCCCCTTCCTCTGGGTGCAGGGCTGGTGGTCTAGACTAGCTGGGAGGGCAGTGGGGAGTTCTGAGTGTTTTAAATGGAGTGAAGGGGAAGTAAAGCTGTGCCATTATTTTCATCATGCTTAGGTTTGTTACTTTTTAAAATTTTTGTTTTTGATTCTTTAACAGAACCCAGGCTGAGTGTGGCTCCCGAAATGGATATAATGGATTACTGCAAAAAGGAGTGGAGGGGTCATACGCAGAAAGCAACATGTATGAAAAAGGTACGGCCGAGGTGCACATGTCTCAGGTCTTTGGATAGTCTGTCGTAAGTTACATGTCATTTTATATTTTTAGATGGTGATTTAGACTACTGCTTCTAGACTTGGTTCTAATTTTAGAGATGAGGAAACAGACTGTAAAGAAAAGGGACTTGTTTGGAGTCAGTATTAATATAGATCCAGCATCAGTTATTCACTAACTTAATTTCTTTGAAAAACTCTCAAATGACGGAGCTCTGCAGAGTCTGGCTCGCCAGTGGGGTCCTTTTGGGCTCATCTGGGAGTGCCCGTCAGCCTGGTGGTGCCCCAGGACTGGCCCTGCTCTGTGCCACTGCTCAGATAGGCAATGCAGAGGGTTCGAAGGTCGTCTCTAAGACCAGTGGATAATAGTAGAGGCTCCAGAGATGTGGTCTTGGTGCCTCAGATGCCTGGGCTCTCCTACGCTACACAGCAGATGGAGCAGCGGGGCCTATGGGCCCCACCTTCAGGAGGCAGCCCCAGGCCAACGCCTTAGTGGGTCAGGCCTCTGGAAATTGCTCCTGTTTGACAGCAGTGTCAACCTAAAACTTTTTACTACCTCTTGTGACCTTTGGACTGTGTCTTTTGCTTGTTTTTCTCTTTGTTTATTTGCATTATGAATCTAAGTGCACTTCTTATTTGTTAGAGATAGTTTTTCTGACTGTGATAGTCTCTCGTAGATTTTCTGACTTCCAAATTAGATAACCAGAAAGCCAGGTATCAAAATAATATTTTCAGATCTTCCCAGGAAATGCTTTCACCAACTTAGAGTTTTATAGCCTTAGTCTCTTTAATGATCTATTTTTAAAAGTTGGCATTTTACATTTCATTACTGAGTTACCCAATATTCCATATTTTGGAACTCTTGCTAAAATCGTTTTCCTGTGGAATTAGATCCAGGAAAAGTAAGATCAAACCCTGCAGTGGGCCTCTTTCAGTAACCCGATAACTAAAGCATCTTCTCAGGACCTCTGGCATAACAGAGCATCTTGGTGCCTGATAACAGCTTTGATCTGTTTTATTTTATTTCTTATTTGCCTAATTTTTACTGTTTTAATATTCTTTTGGACATACATAAGTCATTATAAATCCTAATTTAATTCTAAAAAGTTTGATTCATCTCTGAAGTAGTGTTTTTTATGCAGATACCTAACTATGCATTTAGAAAGGTGCAACTGTGTTGAATTTGCTGTGGTACGTAATCCTGGGATAATTAGGGACCCACCAGAGGGAACAGGTACATATTAGTAGGTCTGCAGCTCCCTGATTGACCCTTATAGGTGGCAGTAGGTGGACTACAAAATACAAACAGACTCTTTAAAATTTCACATTTGGAAAGAAGTGCTGTCATATTCATGTTAGATCATCACGCTGTGACAGACTTTGGAAACGGCTAATGGTGAGCCTGAGCTGGTGTGCGTTGTGCTTACCCCATGTGATGCTCCTTTCTTGGTGTAAGTGCAGGGAGGAAGTAGGGCTGTGTGACTGGCGGAAGAGCAGGATGACTGGGCCAGGGAGCAGCAGTCCCAGTGAGGAGCTGCATTCAGCTGGAGAGATCAGAGCATCACCTGTGCCTGTGGACCAGAGTCACTAGTTGTCTGTGGGGTCCTTTCTCAGACTGCTCCATTTAGATGGCTGTTTTTGAGTGGCCAAGCCTGTCACTGAACTTTTTTTTTTTCTTGTTTTCCTTGCAGACTGAACAAGAGTGACACTTCAGTCCACTTAAAAAAAACAACAAAAACAAAACAAAACCAGAATTATCTAGACATTTTCTAGCTTGTCAGCTTTTACACACACAGACTAATGTGCCATACAATGTTGTGGTCCCATAAAATTATTATGGAGTTGAAAAATTCCCCTTGTCTAGTGAGGTAGCCATGGTTATATTGCAGTGCAACATTACTCCAATATTTGCGGTGATGCTATTGTAAACAAACTTCCTGCACAGCCAGTCATATGAAAACAGAGCACTTACTATTATGTATGGCATATAATACAAATAAATACAAATGACTTCTGCTGTGTTGTTTTTATTATAGTGTTGTCATAGTATAGCGTGCTTACTGTAAAACAGTATGCCTGTTACATGGGCAACAGTCTCACACAGCTTATACTTCCTGTGTCTTTTGATTGCCTGATTTTCTTTTGTGCTTGATTTATTTAACCTTGTGATGTTCTGTTCATCCGGGCTCTTAGATGTACACAGGCCACAGCTGTGGTTGCCAGTAGGAGGTCGAATGGCTGGTTTATAGGTGGCTGTGCCGTGTAGGGGTGTGCGAGTGTCCTCTGATGGTGCGCAGGGGTGAGCCTGCTCACACTGTACTTGTCAGAGTGTTGTCCCAGTCTTAAGATATGCGTATGTCTGTACCTCTGCACATATACCTTAGACACGGTCTTTTCCTGTATTTTTTAATATGGCGATGTTAAGTTAGTGGAGCTCTTTTTTCCTGTTCTCCTCATTAAAGGGAATTTGAAATTGACCTAAATATGGGTTAAACCTTTCAAAATGTTGTCAGTGAGCAGGTGTTCCAGTAGTTGCTAGAAAGGATCATAGGACTCCCAGCTTTGGGGGTAGCTAGTGCCCTAATACTGTTACTGCGTTGTATGTCCAGTCTGTTGCATTTTTTACATATGCTGATACTTTGTGCAGTGCTAACTTTTTAAAATAAATGAAGCTGCCAGGCATGGTGGCGCACACCTGTCATCTCAGCACTTGCAAAGCTGAGGCAGGAGGATCACTGTGAGTTCGAGACAAGCCTGGGCTACATAGTGAGTCCCAGGTCTGTCTCAACTACAAAGTGAGATCCTGTCTCAAAAAACAAAAAACAAACAAACAAACAAATGTAATAATGAAAAGGAATTTGAAGGTTTACACAAAGGATTTCTGCTAGTTTTATTTCCATTATTCCAGTGGTCTGGGCAAATTTTTTCCACAGGAACAGGACTGTTACTACTGTGTAAAGTTAGTAACCACTATTTCACATTCTTCCATACTTTCTGCAGGGCTATGAAGAGGTCTCTCAGAAGTTCACCTCCATCCGGCGAGTCCGCGGTGATAACTACTGTGCACTGCGGGCCACGCTGTTCCAGGCCATGAGCCAGCCCGTGGAGCTGCCCCTCTGGCTGCAGGACCCTGACCTCACACTGGTACGCTGCTGCTGCTGCTGCTGCTGCTGCTGCTGCTGCTGCTGCTGCTCCTGCTCCTGCTCCTGCTCCTGCTGGTGCTGGTGCCGGTGTTGGTGCTGGTGCTGCTGCTGGTGCTGTTGCTGGTACTGGTGGTAGTGCCAGTGCTGCTGCTGCTGCTGCTCATGGTGCCGGTGATGGTACTGCAGCAGGTTTGCGCTCACCGTGTTCAGAGGGCTCTGTGAGAAGCTTCCCCTTTTCTGCTCACGCCGCCTGCCGGTGCTGTCTGCAATGTAATGTCAGCACATGGGGTTATTCAGGTTGTGTGTGTGGTACAACCTCGCATAGTAGAGTGACCAGAAATAGCTGGTATTTCCTGAAGAGAGCAATGATGACTTAATTTAAGGAATTCAGTTGAATTAGAAACCAGATGTTTAGTTTCTGAAAACCACTTAGGAACAACTTGACTTCAGTTTTGACACTTACATTAAGTGCTATCTTTTTCATTACTTAAGCACCTGCCAGGGTCTAGAATCCACATTTTCTTGGTTCCAGCTGCAGTTCAAAAATTAGTACTCTGCCTGTGAGATGATTAGCATCACGTAGAGAAGCATCCCAGCCTGGCCCTGCTTAGTGTCCTAAATCTGCCGTGTAGAGGTGCACTGGGCTCCATGTACCCTGACACAAGTGAAGGTCACAGGATAGGTCGGATAGAGCATCCCGAAAGATTTTGATGTGCAAGAATGATTGGTCGGAATGACGATGTGACATTAATTAGGGAAAAAAATCTATGAAGTCCTGTACTGAGAAAAACAATACCCTCAACAGCAAAGTGCTAGGTGTGGCGTTGGCATCTGAAGTGCAAGCCCACAGTGTGTCCTTGTGGAATGGTATGGTCAGCAGTGACGAGAGCCCTGGCTGTGTTTTAGGAGGAACACTTCTGAGGTTGTGAGAAGGCCCACTGTGAACTGGGCAATTGGAGCCAGTCAGAGGTCTGAGTTGAGCTCCATGTGCATCCCTCAGTAGCACACGAGTGTGAGCAAGATGATCCATCTCATTCTGGGAGCAGCTAAGGGGCTGGAGTGTTTCCCTAGAATGAAGAGGACTTCTGTGAGCTGATGAGAACAGACACTACGCTTGATTTTAGCCAGAAGACTGAGAAGTGATAAAAAGGAACCTTTAAAGGAAACTTACTCCTGGCTGAGCTTTTACGTGGACAAGGGATTGTATCACTCCAGAGGGCGACACTAGGACTAGTGGTAGGAGGGTATTGACCTTTTCACTGTGATCTGTTTTACAAACCAGGGTAAGATCAGAACACCTGTGCACCTTTACACAAAACAACATCTGGGAAGGACACCTTTTGAGCAAAGATATATGTCATCTTAAACAGAGTTTAGCTTATTCCTTTAATATGGAGGCAAAGGAAAGTGATACGTAAGCTGTTTTTTCTTTTGAAAATGATGGCATCTATTAGTAACGGTAGCAGAATCCTTCAGAGTTGTTGGTGGGTCAGCAAAAGCTTGCTGCTGAGTGGATGTATAAGACTTTCTGGAGAAGTAAACAGTGACTTCACTGTCAGTGCTTTGTGTTGTCTTAACTTCTGTGCTGGATGACCATAGCTTAATTTATAGATCATGACATAAATTCTCCGCAGTTTAAGGCTTTAAGGTTTTCCTTTTAAACCTTTACCTGTAAAGGACTATTTAGATGGATTTAATTGACATTCAATTTAATTTTTTATATTTTTAAAGAAACTGCCACAAATAGTGCCCCTAGTAATTAAATGTATAAAGTATACCCTAGAAAAATAAGGCACAGTGTCCCTCCTCATCTCCTAACAGGATATGTTCAGATAACATCACCTACCGTCTTAAGAGCAGGTGAGGTAGGTTGTGTTAAGTCTGATTAATGTTAGAATCTTGCTTGTGTGAATCATGGGGCTCGGTTGTGGTTTTCCTGACTGACTTTGAACAGCGGGAAGATAGTTCTGAAATTCTCAAGTGCTCTTTCCAATTTCTACTCTGGTGTAATGTGTTTCAGTCAGTGTATTTTTCTCTTGAGAGCACAGTCTACTTAGTTGCTCACAGTGGTATTAGTTTTTCATCTAAGCTTTATTGAATGTCAGCAGGCCAGTGTAGAAGAGAATAAAAATGTATCATACCTGCCTGAGTGCAGCATCTATGTTTATTGAACTTCGGTCCTGCTGCGTGTCTGCGGGAGTTGCCTTGTTTTGTTCTGCTCCTGTCCACCTAGAACACTTGTCCGTGATGGTCCCGCCTCCGGCAGTTTGTCCTGGTATGAGCACTTTCTTGACAGTGTGCTTTGTTGTTGCATTCCTGAGGCTGAGTAGTGACAGAATCCCTGCTGCCTTGTCTCGGAGGTGCCTGTGGGGTGGAAAGGGCACACACACTTGGTCTGCTTGTGCTGGAGCAGGCTGCCCTCCCAGTTTTCCCCACACCCTACACGAACGCCTTCTGAGTTCTGCTCTCTCTCTGGCCGTGCCCTAGCTCTTTCTCTGGACACCATTCTGACCAGGGCTTCACAAGTGCCACACCTTGATTTGGTATTTAAAACCTCCATTTGCATATTCCAGATGTTCTGTTGTATTTTGTCATCTGCCCCCTCTTCTGAACGTCATTTGGTTTTGGGAGATTAAAGGGAAACAGAAACAGCAAAGCTGAACAACCTTCCCCTTACCTAGGACTTGTTGGAGGGGACTCTGGACCTCCCTGCTATGCTCAGCTTCTCTGGCCTTGCTCCATTACCTGCTTGCGAGTTGAGGTCTGCCCTGCCTGCCCCTCGCAATTTGGCTGCCTGTCCGTCGTCTCCTGCCCCTGCCTGGGCTTCCTGTTTATTCTCTTCTCCGTCAGAACCCATTCTGAGTTTGACTGTCGTTAAATTGTCTAACCCTGACCGCAACTGTGGGAATGGTTAGTTTGGCTGCTCTTAAACTTAGGCCAGCACCATGGTCCTTAAGGAGGGGTGTGCTTTGTCGCAGGGGCCCTTGGGTTTTCGGGTTCGCTAAATGCAGATGGGACCTGTGACATTGTTTGGGAGATTAAGATGTCAGATGTTTGTTTTGGTGCTGGCACAGTTTTGCTGTTTGCTCTGTAGTGATAACAAGAAGTACAGGCATTTGCTGGAGAAAGTAGGTTGTTTTAGAGTTCAATCACAAGTAAACGGCACTGAAGCTATTTACTGGATTATTAAATGCTTCCAGCCATTGCTTTCATGTGTAAATTTTGTGTTTTTGGTTTAAATCTCCCTTATTCTGCCTCTGCCTAGTGGAAAAGAATGACTGTGTGTGTGTTATGACCCTGTGAGGATGCAAAGTTTATTTTCCTTTTCTTCCTGTACAAATAATTCCAGTTCCATTATTCTTTACTAATAGTTTCTTTTTCATGTCTATGTTTTTGGACTTTCTCCAGGATTTCCCCACCTCCTGGAACCAAACGACCCTGAACGGGATGATCCCTTTAGCAACAGATTAAGCAATGAGTGAAATCAGTGATGAAACTAACTTTGTGTCTTTGGTGTAGACAGATCTTTGGGATCTCCAGAGTAATTCAGTTGCCTGTTCTGGCTTTTTAGTTGACTGTACAATGTCATGGAATGCCTTGCTGGTCTTCTAGGCTGCCCTTTACCTTGTGTTCCAGCTCACATCTTTGGAACCAGTATTTTTTGCTCACTCTTGGTTTGTCGTGTCAGTTGTCATTCCAGCTTATTACCACTTGAGGGCATGTTAGGTTCTCGTGATGAATCTGAGAGATCAAACCGAGGGCTCTGCGGAACTGCGCACATGTTGTTGAGGTATAGGACCAGTGGCACTGAGTGGGGCTTCCGTGGCTCTTAGGCAGGTCGTCACTTGTCACAATGATCTGAGTAGGGCGCCCCATTTAGTGAGTGATACAGATCATCATCACTGTGGTCACGGTGAAGAGCACTTTGTAGCCCTGTCGTGGTTCTGTTTTTTGTAGAGATGAAACCACATGATTGCCAGAGACCGAGAAGGCACAACCAGGATTGCAGTTTGAGCCTTAGGTTCCAGTACAACTGAACATAGGTCCTCATTTAGAACTTTTTATAACTGTTAAACAAGTTCAGGTTCCTTATAGGATGTGTAGGCTTTAGTCATTGTTTAATGCGCTTTTGATGCAGAGGTGAACTTTTTTTCCTTTCTAAAATTTATAGCAGTGGAGTGACATGCCTGTGCCCAGCCCGATTATACGATATCTCCGGACACACCCAAGACTGTTGGGAGAGCCTGATTTCCCATGCCATCATCAGCCAGGTTGTGTCTCAGCTTGCCTTTTAAGCCCCAGATTCTATTGATAATTAGGGGGAAAACAAAACGAATGCTTGAGGAGCAACAACAGAAGAAAGGAAATTAGCGCCGCAGCAGTTCAGCGATCATGTTTTCCGGAGTGAGACAGTCAGTTCCCTTAACTCCTGTACTTATTCGCAGTTGTCTTACCTCACTATATTGATGAAGCAGTCGACTAAGAAAATAGTTTCTATAAAAGTTAAAATTTTCAGTACAGTATGTGATTGAAAAATATGGTGAATACTTAAATTTTAAAATGTTTGCAGTAAAAGACACATTGCCATTAATCCCCCTCGAAGGCCCCTTCTCACGTTGAACACACCTGTCCCATTATTCTTGCTTTCCAAAGCAGTTCTGGAAGTCCCCTCTCAGGAGTGTCTCTGGTGTCCTCTCTCAGGAGTGTTTGTCTTGTGGCTTTCTCAGTGTCCTGAGTCAGTTTAAAATGTTTACCTTTCATGGGCATTTTGACTTTGGGGAGGAACTGATCTAGAGGATTGGGTGGGTGAAGGCACACTACTGTTTTTACAAGACCATCTTTCCGTTGGAAGGCACTTGGCAGCAGTGCTCACAGTATTTTGGATCACACCTTCTTTAGACACTCACGACAGAGGACCTCTCGGAACTTCTTGAAGAAGTGGCACGAACGATGGGCTAAGTGTATTCAAAGCAAAGGGGAGAAATTGAGAGGAATTCATGGCAATGTGTCTTACTGTAATAATATTTTTAAAAATTTTAAACATTCACCATATATTTTGCTCAACCCTATGTATATATTAATATTAACAAAATTATTTCTGCTTTTTTTAATGGATTTTAAAAAACCCAGGAATTAGGCTTTATTTTCCTAATCAAGAAAAGAAAAGAGCAGGGTTTAACTTTATCCTGAACTTTATCACCTACCTAAGCCATGCACTAGGGAGAGTAGGGAGGCTGCCAGTGAGCCCAGAAGACAGATTGTGCGAAGACGCAGCATAGATCCTGCAGGCTGGACCATGCCCGTGTATCTCAACCCAAAGTGCCTTTCACCCTGACTCCTGACTCCGTGTGGCTTCTGGCTCCTGGATGTAGGTCCTCCATCCTCAACTTGCCGGGCAGACTTGCAGGAGTTGTTTGTTTGGCAGTAAAGTACGCTTGGTGTTTTCTTCCAGCTTGGATCACCTGTGATGGATTTCTTGGAATGTTAATACTTCTTTCTCTTTCTGTTCTTGGTATTCTAGTTACCAGAAAAATTGATAAGCAGATACAACTGGATCAGACAGTGGAAACTGGGACTGAAACTCGATGGGAGGAGCGAGGACCTGGTTGAGAAAATTAAGGAGTCCCTCGCCCTGCTGAGGAAGAAGGTTTGAACGTGTAGTTTCCTGTCTGACAAGTGCAATGCTCCTGCTGCAGATTGCCCAGCAGCCCTCTTCTTAGTCTCCACTCATTGTGTCAGTGAATGCTCTTGGTTCATTTATTTATTTACATTTATTTATTTAAACTTATGAAGAAAAGGTTTATTTGGTTCTTAGTTCTGGATACTGAAATTGGCTGATTTTTAGGGAAAACAAACAAACAAAAACTCTTCCCATGAGGTCTTTGGTGAAATGGAGAAACACCAACATTATATATTCTTGAAGGAGCTGCCATGAATTAGTGTTTCAGATAATGAAATGTATAGCTTTCTTAAAAGGAAACCTTAACAGATGTATTCTTTGTTCTAACTTATAGGTTTCAAAAATAATCATTTAGTCTATAGCTTTTTTTATTATCAGTGATACTAATTCACATTTACTCTTCCCAGTTAATGCTTGTGTTTTAAGATTCTGTCCATATTTATTGAAGACTATTTTCTTTCCTGATGTTTATTCAATGAGTAGATTTGTAACTTGGCCTTTGAAAACTGTCCTAAGGGTGGGTTTGTATGAAGTAGAATTTAGGGAGAACTTAGTGTGCTGATTCCTCCTGACTTGGTGTTTAGAATTCTGTGGTTTTCTGCTGTCTCTTCGGGGTTGGACATCCTGCTTGCAACGGCCCACCCTGACCTTGGGCTGCTTGTTTTGAGCAGCTTGGGGTCCCTCCCCCTAGGAAGCCCAAAGAGAGGGATTGTTGATTGCTGCTGCCTTTGCCAGTAGAAGAAGGGGTCAGGTCCTAAGGCGGGGTCACATCTGGGCTTTTGGGGTCCTTCCTAGCACACACCCCAGGTGATCTGTTTGCTCTCATTTAGTCAGTCTGCCACCTTAGACCTCTGCTCTGAGACTGTCCCGTTTTTTTTCTTTTGGCCCAGTGCCTACCACCGAGCCAGACACATGATAGCCATTTGGTAAATGCTTTGTTGAGTGAGTGAGCAGAGGGCCCTGAATTCCTGGACTCTAACTTTTGCTTTCAAAGATAAATGTTTAGTGGAAAGTATACTGTCAAAGGAAGCCCAGCAGTTTTTTTATCTTTCACTGTGAAGAAAAGGGGGAGAAGGGAATAGGGTTTCTTTTCTCATTACCTGCTGGAGTGGAACGCTGCACTTCAGGGTGCTGAAGGACAAGGCCCTGGCCCCCAGTGTGAGTGAGGAGGTTTCTTCAGCTGAGCTACACGGCAGTTTCCTTTTTTTCATCTTTAAGATCTTGTGAAATGGGTATTTTTGCTTTATTAGCTAGCTGTGTCTGTTGTCATCAAACTATCATTTTGGGGACTGTTTAAGTGTTGCCAGTTTATAACAAGATTAATATTACTCATTAGTAATATGAGCCACCAGTACTAACACTTGTGCTTGCTTTACACTAAAAGTTTCATTCATTAGTTTCTTCTCATGACTACAAAGGTGATGTCGTCCATGACCACGAAGGATGTGGTCATCCCTGCTTCACAGATGTGGAGACTGAGACCGAGAGGTTGGTTAAATGTCCTGTGGAAGCCACTAGCTACTTGGTGGCAAGGCTTTGACCCTATCCTGACTGTAGAGTGTGCTCTTGATGCCAGCTCGGTCTGCTCTGGAAACTGAGATGTGGACAGTACGTTCCAGCCTGAATATTGTTTTTTTTTTTTTTTTTTGGTTTTTTGAGACAGGGTCTCACTATATAGTTGAGACTGACCTGCACCTCCACCATGTAGCCCAAACTCACAGCGATCCTCCTTGCCTCAGCCTCCCGAGTGCTGGGATTATAGGCATGCACCACCATGCCTGCCTCAGCCCAAATATTGTTGAGAGTTCTGAGTAGTCATCACCATTAAAATTTACTCTTGGATGTTAAATCTACAGTGAGTTTTGCAAGGGGAACAATTACTAATTACTCATAAGGACTGGTATTTGTGGGCATTTCTTATTCATTGTAACTTAAAAGCACATTTGTCTGTAGGGTTTACTTCTTCCCTGAAAGAGTTGGCCTATGCTAGTTGAATACTTGACAGCTGCTTTGTTCTTTTTTTTTTTTTTCTGTTTAGCATCTTACATTTATTGTCTCATTTAAACTTCATAACATTTCTTTTTTTTTCCTCATTGAGTTTATGTTCTTAATCAGTAGTCAGTAAGATTTTTCTAAATGGATTTATACATTTGAAGCTCATGTGTATTTTTAAGAGTTTAGAAGGTAAGTTCAGTAAACTGATACTCAGGAGACCCCATTAATGCTCCTTCCATTTTGAAGGGGTGGCTTTGTGTTTTTGGCTTGGTTGCTTTGTGAAAGCATCTCAGAGGGTGGAGTAATTGTAGTCTCTTCAGCTCTGCACACAGGCCTCACACAGGCCTGCTGTCTTTTCCACAAGTATCTCTGATTGTCTGGTTCATTTGAAATTGCCGCCCCAGGGCCTCTTGGCCCTGCTCCCTTTCCTTACTGCATTGTGCATCTGTTTGAAATTAATGGGAAGAAAAGCTGAATAGTGTCCATCTAAGGGGTGCATTGTTTGAACTGGAACTTGAATGTTGTGAGCATTGGGATGACTCATGATCTCCACTTTTGAAAATTAGTTTGCATTCACAGTGTAGACATGTACCAGGGAGTTTTAGAACAGAACATCCTAACTATCACTTAACTTCCTTATTGTAGTGGGCAGGCCTGGCTGAGATGAAAACTGCTGAGGAGAGGCAGATGGCTTGTGATGAACTGTTCACAAACGAGGAGGAGGAGTATAGCCTCTATGAAGCTGTAAAATTTCTAATGCTGAACAGAGCCATTGAACTGTATGATGATAAAGAGAAGGGAAAGGAAGTACCATTTTTCTCTGTGCTCCTCTTTGCTCGGGACACATCGAATGATCCTGGACAGCTTCTGAGGAACCACCTAAACCAGGTGGGACACACTGGAGGCCTTGAACAGGTAAGCTGTGCTTTTGGGAGTGTGTTATTTCAAGGTGTAGTGGCTTTAATCATCGAGCATGATCTTACAGTGTTTATAGGTCAGGAATTCAGGAGCAGCTCAGTTGGGGGGATTTGGCCTAGGGTGTCAGGAGGTTGCCTGTGTAGGCTGTCCAGCACCACAGTCATCTGAATCTTTACTGGGACTGCAGGACCCACTTCCATGACTATGTGGCTCTTGGTAGAAAGCCTCAGTTCCTTGTTACCGGGAGGGTTTGGTTCCTTCCCATATGGGCCTCTCCAGAGGGCTACCTGAGTGTCCTCCTGATGGATATCAGAGTGATCCAAGCAGAGAGCAAGGAGGATGCTTCTGTGGTCTAATCTTTGGTAGCCACACTCTTGAGGAGAAAGGAATTGAGCTATGTCTTCTCCAGTGAGGAGTGTCAAAGAATTGTGGACACCTTTTACAACTGCCATTTTTATATCATCTTGGGCTTTCTGCTGAAGGATGGCAGATGGGATTAGAACCCTTGGAAGCTACAAATGAGTGGAGCCCTTGGAATAGGCATTTGAAGGGTCTTGTTTAGTCTTGGCCGCTGTAGCTGCATTAAAAATAGAGATAGACTCACTCAGCTAGAAGAGCATAGCCTCTCGGGTCTTTTATACACATGCTAAATTTGGACTTTTATATGGACACCCAGTTGAGTCACCATACCTTGTACCACTTTGGTATGTTCATTTCCCTAAAAGGTCATTAGGGCTGTCCATCCAAAGTGCTGCCTTTCTGCTACATCTTGGACTCCTTCCCTAAAGACCAAGTACCAGGACAGACGAGGTGAGGAATGGAGAGCCGAGCTGGGTCCTCTCTGCATGGTCCTGGTGGGTAGAATCCTTTCCACCTGCATCTTGCATCCATGAGGTGCAAGAAAGAGCAGAGACTGGTGGCCATGGCTGGGGTAGGCAGGATAGAGATTATTTCAGAAAGTTATCTATTTATAATGTGGTTGACTTTCGTCTTCTGAACCATAGGGAGCACCTACTGGTAAAAGACCTGCAAGAGCATGGCTTGCATGTTAGACTCAAATTGGGCCTTTTTGAGACCCTATCAGTCTATTTTTTTAAGAAAAATTAAAAAAAATCTTTTGCATACATACAGTCCGGTTCACTTTTTGAAAGCTTTGCAGTCACCACTGCAGTTTGACGTTAGATCATTTTGTCACTTCCAGAAGAAACCCCCCAACCACTAGCAATCATTTCCTTTCCCCCAGCCCTAGCCAGCCACAAATCTGTTTTCTCTCTGTAGACTTGTCTGTTCTGAACATTTCACATAAATGGAATTTTATACTGTGTGCTATTTTGTGACTGGGTTCTTTCATTGAGCATAATGTTTTAAAGGTTGATCTGTATTGTACCATGTATCTGTGCTTCGTTCCTTTTTATTGATAAGTAAATGATGCTGCATTGTGTGCATAGATCATGTTTTATTCATTTAGTAGCTTGACGGACATGTTACTATGAATGATCTTGCCGTGGACACTCATGGGTAGTTTCATGTGGACACGTTCCTCTTGGGTGTGTGCCAAAGAGTGCAGTTTCTGGGCACGTGGCAATTCTTTGTCTCCCTTTTGAGGACCTGTCAAGCTGCTTAAAGCAGCTGCGCTAGAGCATGGTGTGGTGGTCCACGCCTGTATCCAGTTACGTGGGAGGCTGAGAGAGGACCGCCAGTCTGAGGCCAGCCTGGGCTACAGGGTGAGACTGTCACCAGAATTCAAAAGGGAATAGCAGCACTATTTTACGTTGCCACCAGCAGGGGATCTGTGTCCCATTTCGCTGTCCTTTTTGATTACAGCCGTTCCAGTGGGTGTGAAATGGTATCTTACTGTGGTTTTGATTTGCATTTTTCTAATGATTTATGTTGCTGAGCGCATTCCGAGGTACTTATTGGCCATTTACATATCTTCTTTGGAGAAATGTCTCTCATATCTTTTGTCCAATTTTTAAACTGTTTATTTTTTACTTGTTGAGTTGTAAACATTACTTATAATTCTCTTTGCTGGTCCCTTCTCAGATACCTGCTGCAATCTTGATGTTCTGCCTTTTAGTATAGAGAGCACTGGCGGGAAATCCGGAGGGAAAGTTGCGGCATACCCGCTGCTGTGCAGCCTGGCGGGCGAGAGGCCCGTCTTCGCCTGGCTCCCTTCAGGTGCCCCTTTGCTTTTTCCTCCCAGGTGGAAATGTTCCTCCTTGCCTATGCTGTGCGCCACACCATCCAGGTATACCGGCTGTCCAAGTACAACACCGAGGAGTTTGTCACAGTCTACCCCACCGACCCGCCTGAGGACTGGCCGGTGGTGACCCTCATCGCTGAGGACGACCGGCACTACAACGTCCCCGTGCGGGTGTGTGAGGAGACCAGCCTGTGACTCGGCCGGCAGGCTAGTGACTCGGCAGAGCGGCACGCAGCTCCTGGCTGGGCCTCAGGCCGCAAGTCTCTAAGAACCGCCTGTGGGAACCCTGGGCAGGGAGCAAGCCGGACTGGAGTGTTCTGAAGAGTAGCTTTTGACAGCAAGCGGTAGCCATGTCTGTGCCTCATCCGTGACCCAGTACGTTTCAGTGAGGGCCTCTGGGAGTACTTGCTGGAAGGTGCAAGCTACAGCCCCATCCCCAAAGGCAATTAGTTTTGTATCAGAGGAACCTCATTTTGGAGAGGAATATGTTAATGTTTCAAACCAAAATTCTCTCTAATGATAAACTGGCTTTTTCTAAAGACTCTATTTCTCTTTGGTGGTGGTAATGGCTCTCTGTAGTGACCTTCTGTGTGATCTGCTGAGGTCGTTAGTCATAATACCCTTTGATAGCCTTGTCTTCTTCTGAAAAGATGAACAGTAGTTTGGATTTACATTAATTAACTTCTATTTAAAGCAGATTGCCTCATAGAAGATTAATTGGGTCCAAAAATGGGATTGTTCGAAGAATTTCTTTTTTTGGTGGTATTGGGGATTGAACCTAGAACCTTTATACTGATCTACATCCCTAGCCCTTTGTTGTTGTTGTTATTACTTGAAACAAGATCCTGATAAGTTACCCAGGCTAGGCTAGAATCTGCAGTCTCCTGCCTCAGCCTCCTAGACAGCAGGGACTGTAGGTGTGCCACAATACCCACTCACTGATGGATTTTTTGAAGGCCAGAGGAGTTGCTGGGCGTGGTGAGGGAGCCTAGACCTTCTTGCTCTGTTGGCCATGACAGGTTAGACCCGAGTCCTGAGGAATCCTGCTTGCAGTTGTACCCTAGGGTTGGGGCATTAATTATTGTATAGTTCCAGAGTCACAGTTTTATAGTCACAGCTGAGTTTATGTCCACTCATGTTTTTAGAGGAGACCAGGGCCTGGTGAGTTCAGTTACTGACCTCCATCAGAGGCGGGGCCAGGCTGGCCTCAGTCTTCCTGTACCCTTTGCCTGCGGTGCTGAAGGTGGCACGAGTAACAGCAGAGGTCTGAGATTGTCCCAGAGTCGCTGCAGCAGAAGCGTGAGGGAACACGGGAGCCAGAGTGTGGCTGGGCTGCGTGAGGTGAGGCTGTGTGGCCTGCAGTCGCTGTGGGCCTGGCTGAGCCGTGGTCAGAAGAAGGCAGCCCTGCCACGCCCAGCCTGCTCAGGACCCAACCCGCACTGTCGAGGGACGCAGACCTAGGCGGTGTCCGCCGGAGCCTGACACTGCACACTGGGATTCAGTCCGCAGCGCCTCAGTGGGCTCCGGACTTGCAGAGGTGGTCTTTCCCGAAGTACCAGACTAATTTCATAATAAAATCTTTACCTGATCCTATTCAGTACAGTTTATAAGCTGTCTGACCTATTTTTGAGGGGTGGGACAAACCTTTCAGAATGAAGGTTTTGCTTTTAATTAAAAATTCAGTCTTTGTTAGGAAAGTTCAGGATGCACAAACTGTTCTGTTCCTTTAGTCTTTCCGCGTTACCTCGTTAGTAACATTCCCCACGTTTTGTAGATGTTTATTGATAAGGCTGTATGTTTTTCACTGTGAAATGCAGTGGTGCTTTGAATAAGGAAGTACCCAGACATCAAAATCATGACTTGTGGGCCTTGACACTTCTTTAATATTTGTACCATACAACTGGATATGCTTCCTATCTATCCATTTCGGAACTTTGTTTTAGTTCAAAACTGGGGATTGAGTCCTGAGCCTCCTACATGCGAGGCAGGTGTTTTACCCCTGAGCTATGTCCCCAGCCCTTTTTGTTTTGAGATGGTATTATGCGCAGGCTGGCCTTGAACTTGTGAAGCTCTCACCTTAGTGTCTCACATGTGTTCTTGCCTGGAACTTTGAATGTTTTTTAAAGCACAGCTTGGAGTTTAGATTGTATCTGGCAATAGGTATCTGTGCCCTTGAGGAACATTGGATCTGGCCGTTGTTTCCTACACACTCTTGAATGTTAGTAATATGGTACTAACACTCGTGATTATCTGCATTTTTGCAGATATGCCTAGTGAACTTGAACTACTCTGCTGTTTGTATATAATTTTTTTTTCTTGTTCCTATGGATGATATTGTTAGTGTGCATAGAAATTGTGGTCTTAGCCACCACATTGATAATTCAAAAGGGTATGTTTATGTTGCTCTTTGTCTCTAGGCCTTGCCAGACTCTGTTGTCAGATTGTCATCCAGCTTTAGAGGGGTCATAGCATCAGAAAAGCTATGAAGAAATTATACTTAAGGAAATAGAAAATAATTGGTCCATCTAAGAAATAATATTTATTTTGTTGCAATCTGCATCTTCAGTTGCCCAGATACTTAAGTCCTGAGTTGGTAAAGTCATATCAGCAGAATAGGAATTCAACTGGGATAAAAATGGACTCAGAAGGACGATCCTTTGAGAGCTATCTCCAAAATGGTAAGATGTTCCAAAAGAGGGGGACAGAGTAAGGACTCCACTCCTCACTTTCTATTCCAGAGTTTTATTGCAAGAGTTTAGAAGTTTTGGGCGCTGTGTTATTGGCAGAAAAAATATCTCCACATTAAGCACCTATACCTTTGAACTCATTCAAGGTACATTTAAACCTAAAGTGATTTCCCTGTATATGTTGCACAGAATTAACATTGCTTTTTCCTAGCATTTTCAGATTCTTCTCCTTTCTTGAACTACTACTGAATGTACAAATCCCATGGATGTTATTCCTGCACTTGGAAGAGTGCTGTGCCCTTAAAGAACGAACAGCATGTGTTTTTTAATTTATGATGTGACCATTCATGGGATTCGATCGGAAAGGGTTGCTGTTCCTCTTTCTTAGAATATGGCCTATAAAAATGTCCTAAGTACACAAAACAAAGCTAAATCTACTTTCTTTTTGTTCATTTTTGTAGTACTGAGGATTGAACCCAGGGCCTCATTCATGCTAGGCAAGAGCTTTACCACTGAGCTGCATCCCAACCTTTTTATTTTGATTTTGAGACAGGGTCTCAACTACACTATGATTAATTCAGTTAATGTTTGGTTTTTTCTTTGAAGAGGGAAAATGGATATTGCTTTTGCATCCCCCTGCAACTTTATACCTTTTGAGGTAGAATTGGTTGGAAAACATGGATTTTTATGTGCTTGGTCTTTTTTGCTGTTTTACCTGGCAGGAAGGGCAGGAAGCTCTGTGTTATTTTTTTCCTCTTCTCATCCCAAGGTGCTACTTTACCTAAGGGCTTGTACTCTACTTTTTGAAGATTTTCCAGAGTGCGGGAAATGCAGTGTCACCTGTAGTGATAGAGGACTCTAGCCATCTGCTCACAGCTGTGACTTCCATAGACTTTCTGTCTGTGTCATCTTTTGATATTAAAATATGGTTTGATCATTTTTCTATCTCTGTTTCTTAAGGGATACTTTGCAAGTACGCCCCTCAGAAGGCCAGAAAATATTTTTAGAAACAGAAATCATTGGGGAATCTTGATTGTAGGTATGCATAAAAATAAATGCCTTTATTTAACACCTGTGACTGCTAAAAATAAAAGAAAGCCATCAGTGTGACATGTGTCTAAACATAGAACCACCAAATAGTTTAGCAAAGGCAGGGCATAGTAACAGGTGCTTTAAAAGGAGCCTAAGGAACTACAGTAAACTGGAGGAGGAACTGACTTTAGAGTAACTTTTACAGTATCATATAAAACAAAACAATACACTTCTGATGGGCCTGTGCATAAGCTACACAGAATAAAAATCTGAATGGGAACATTGATGTGCATGTATTCCACGAATTTCTGTTTCTAGAATTTAAGTCTCCTATTTAAGGGAAGGATAATATCTAAAGTGGAACTCCTGGGAAACTGATCTCTTCTAAGCGGGTGGAGAGAACCAGGGAGCCATTACTGAGCTCTGCAAGAGTTTGGTGACTGTGTGAGTGAAGACACAGAAAACCGATTACTGATGTTCTAACTCAGTTCGTAACTCAGAGGTATGAAAAGCACCAAACACAACCTGATCCTGTTCGGCCACAACACACAGGCACAGACACCCTCGCTTTTCCTGGCTGTCTCTGGTGGAGGGAGTGAGGTGTGTGCACTGCAGCCCTGCAGCGTGGGTCCCAGCAGTGGGGTGGGGGAATGGAGGTGGAGCTGTCCCAAGTGATTGTATTTTTTTCACAGCAAATTAAAACATATTACGGCATATGCTGGAATAAATTAGTATAAATATTTAAAATAGGTTGGCCATTAGGTCTGGAAATATTGTGTTGAAGTGTCATCTGTAAGCTACTTATTAAGTATGTATGTCTATTCCCAGGCCGCATAGCAACTTGTATGTTAAGCACTTCGAACGTTCAGTAGCATTCCTATAGGACTCTGGTTGGAGTTTTATCTCAGTTTCATTCACTTCTTGGGATAAGCTTGGGTCAGGAATGAAATTACCAAGACATGGGTCAATATGAGGAATGCCACAGTCTTGGCTGGGGCTGGTGTACACTCTGGGAGGCTGAGGCAGGAGGCAGGAGGATCATAAGTTGGAGCCCAGTCTAGGCAACTTAAGGGAGACCCTCTCTCAAAATTGAAGAAGGGTTGGGAATGTTAGTTCACTGCAAAGGCCTTGGGTTCGATTCCCAGTACCTCAAAAAAACAAAAACAAAAACAAAACAAAAAACCCCAAATCAATCTTGGTGGTCGTTTTTCTAATAACAAGGGGTGTTTGGGCTTCATTTTGAACTTCAGAATATTTTTGTACTTAATTTTAGAAGCTTTCATCTATATATTAAAAAAATGCCTTAATATTTATTCACCAAATGGTACTAAAATACAGTACCCCTGGCAAGAACCGCAGCAGTGCCGTTATGCATGTGACTTCTGAGTATTTCAGTATGGGAGCAAGGGGGCCAGGGATTTGGCTCAGTGGTTCCGGCGCCTGCCTCAATATAGGAACAAGGCCAGAATGTATTAAACTTCCTTTTCATTTTCATTGTGTCTGTAAGACACTGCTGCCTGCATTTGGGTGGCTTGACTTTCTGGCTTGGGAATCCGGAGAGAGCAAGTGCCCAGCAGAGGTGTCCCCTGGGGTGTGCCGCATGCTCCTCCTGGCTTGCTCAGCAGCTTCTCCGCTGACACCAGAAGAAGTCAGCGTTTGTCAAGCTTTATGCCTGTTCTGAGCAGCAGGCCCCTGAGGCTCTCAGCGGTGGGCATCCTTCTTCCCCTGCAGACCGTCCAGACCCCTGGGGTGAGTTTCCCGATCACTGTTGAATCTTCCGTCTTCACTGGCAGAGCTGGAACCTGCTGTTTTTTGTTCTTGAGTCCCCTTCAGTGAGCCTGGCTACTAGGGATTATAAAATCAGATGACAAAGGGAAGAGCTTGTGGTTAATGCCTGCTTTTGTTGGGATTCGATGTGTTAGCTTTCTGGTACCCCGAGGCAGGCTTGTGATGCCACAGGTTGCCTCCCCACTTCCTTTGTCCTTCGTGGGTGGAGGAAGTGAGATCTGTGGGGCCTCACTGGGCTGTGCTAGGGTTAGATGCAATGAAGTGGTTAGCGCAGTGCCTAGCCTGCAGTGAGGACTCCA